AAATACTCCGATTTAGAGTTCTGGTTTGCTCTGTGTTAGCTCCAAAACCAATCAACATATTCTTTTGTTTCATTGATAGCCCGAGAAAACGCATGGAATTTGAAAAGGGAGACAATAGAATTGATTTGAAATCTCACACTTTTATTCTCACAATTAGGAATATTTTGCGAACAAATTAGGCTAACACAGAGCATTGAAGAATACGAAACTGGATTATTCTCGGTCTCATAGCGAATTAGCTTTCGAATATTCATTTCAAGGAAAATGTCTCATGGCGAGACTTGTTCGATGGGCCGCAATAGTATATTAGTAGTGTTTGCAAAATATTTTGAATATATTAATATATTTTGAATATATTAATTAGACCTAATTACGCATGGAAACCCCGAGATTCTTTGCAGGCTCAAGACTGTGGACTGTGTCGTGGTGACGACAACATTTTTTGAAATAGGTGTATATCAGAGGCTTACCGGCAAAGTTTTCTTTTCGCTCGAATATTTTATAAAAGAAATATAAAACGGCCGCTTGTGTCTCTGTCTTCTGATATAAACACGGTGGGAGTTGAAAAACACTCGAGAAGCAAGAGAAACACTTGCTACGCTCATGTTCCTAAGCTTGCTTCTCTCGTGTTTTTCGAACTCCCACCGTGTTTATATCAGAGGACAGAGACACGCGCGCCGTTTTATATTTCTTAAATATGACATGTATTCACTCAATGTTTAAGAAAGTGTAGAGCTGGTTAAGATTTGTCTTGAATTCAATGCCATTCTTATTTACCGCGCAAGGGCTTGCTCTAATTTTTCGAGCATCCATATTGTTCGCGCGCATAAGACGTTTAGGGTGTAGCTTTGGAGGCTGTAGTTTTATTTGGCCAAAGCCGATATGATAAATGCCATCATGACTTTATTAATACCACAACAACCGAGTCACTAGTCTTGTATGTAGCCGTTTAAAATCTACAGGAAGCCCACCTCCAACGACTTCAAATATTTTTCGTGATATTGCCAGTCCACCTTACACAGTGGCCTCCTCACACTGTATTCCTACAAAATGTTTACACAGGCATTTTTGACATCAACCCAAAGCTTCCAACCGTGCCGCTATGCAAAGCATTATCGCGTGAAATGGTATCACCTTAAGCTTTGCGAGACAGTACATCCCTCAAGGAGAAATCTGCGTTCTTTTTAGAAATAATAAGGTAACACTTTATTATACCTTTTAACATGATTTTATATATTTAGCACTGTCATTTAAATAAAATCGCATAGCTATTTACGATAGAACGATATTTTCATCTAAAATTACAATCGCTGTCATCTAAAAATATGAACAGGCTAACAGGGTCTGAATTGTACTTAAAGGCGTTATACCACGAACACGACAGCACAACGCAAAGACACATGTAAAATACGCCGTAGGAACTGTTCAAATCATTGCATTATATTCGACTGTTTCTCACGGCGTATTTAACATGTATTGAAGTTAGTAGTGAATGGTGCTTTGCCCTAATGACGTTAGCGAAATACACCATGGRATTGATGRGAAAACAAACTGTTGTTTTTAGCATGCCCGTTGTTTCTGGCTGTTTTCTGAATACCAAACATCATTTTCGCAAACGGGTGTTTTAGCATACTTTATCTTGTAGGCAGTATATTTACTGCTTTCAAAAGCATCCTCGACGACTAATAAAGTTGATTTCGCAAAGAAACTTTGCCCTTGGTAGTTGTTAAAGACATCCACAATCTTGATTTTTTCATCAATACCATGATGCATTTCGCCGAAACACACGTGACGTCATAAGAAAAAAAAATGGCACATGCGAAACAAAGCGTAGAACCGGACCGGGCATAAGCTTTGCTTATGCTTATGGCTACACACTCGTAATTCAACGCGAATATCAGAAGATGATATCAAGCTCCTTGACATAAAGGCCCTAAAGGGTGGCACCATTTGAGATATCTAGACACTCACTAACAAAATAGCCATTCATATAGTCTGATAGTCTGCCTATAGAGCATTTAGGCTGTGAGGAAAGGACCTRGAGAGACTCTATTGACACAAGGAGCAGTTTCCATCGTATTTGGCAAACCACTACGTCATCACAAATGAAATAATAAAAAAATACTTAKAGTACYCAGTTTAATATGTGTTAGAACACACCAGKAAGTAGTGAATATAAAAATGTTTTTTATCCTATTTGTTATAAGATGTATAACTGTTGCAGTTATCGATGTCAATTCTAATTTTCTAATTCATTGTTATCATCAATACGCATCATCATCATCATCATCATCATCATCATCATCATCATCATCATCATCATCATCATCATCATCATGAACATCATCATCATCATCATCATGAACATCAACATAGCTCGCTTTTTTCCTTTCCAAGCAAGTTTAGAGTCGATTGTCTTGATATTCACTGTATCACCATCTCTTCTTCCTGGACACTTGTACCAGAGACGTATGCGAAGATGAATGCTTTGAAGTTCTTGGTATCGATGGTATAAAAAAATTGCATTACTTGTATATAGAACCTCAGCTTCTAGGTAGAGGTCTTACAACTTCTTCTGTAGATGAAAGTTGAAAAAAAGACAATGTAAAAGAGATCAACAAAGGAAGAGTCTGAGCTGAGTTCATCGTCTTACCATCATACGCTTTTAACGTCGCTTCGCAGACAAACAAGAACTGGCCCTTCAAAAAGAAGTTTAACAATAATCAAGTTTAGGAAAAAGTTATATATTATCCTATTTTTTATACAATTTCATTATTGCAAAGTGCCTTTGAGCTGAATGGATAAAGTGAATATATCACTGACTTTCTTATTATTTACTGTAATTTAAGATAAGATACTCACAGGCGTTTGGATAAGTGATCCTCGCTGATCTCTCATTTTCCTGACTATTTCTAAAGGATAAATTGGCTCTGCGCCTTCAATCATATTGAAAGCCGTCTCGGAGAACATTAACACACCGCTTCGACCAACACCAGCACTGATTGGAAAGAACAAACGGACAACATAAAAACAAGAACGAACATTGTGAGTGTTTCCAAGAGAAATATGTACAATTAACACCATCTCAGGACAACGATTAGTTCAGTTAATCAACAACAATGATCCGGGCCTAAATCAATTCCAAAACGATATGGACCTAGACAAAATACAATTTTTTTCGCGTCCGATCTGTTCATCTGGTCTTATGACATTAGAGGGGAGAGACGAGCCTCATAACTGCTGCGCTAGGAGACAACTGGTCTTATTATTTTACGTATTTTCAAAGGAAATGGAATAAAGTAAAGCAACATACGCTGAGCTTTCTTCAGTAGTTACAGTCAAATCATCGTCCAAATGTCCGTATCTGTACGTACCTACAATGCACCACGACTGGGGTACTAGTCCCCTCACGGTAATGCCTGACACTGTGAATAAATTCTAAGAAGTCTGTTGCGTCCTCAGGAACGTCTAAATAAAAACAAAAGCAACTTAAACACACGTTACAAGTAAAAGGCTGGTGAAGGTGGTGAAACGTAACATTGTGAGAAATTCAAATGTTTAAATATTCAAAAGACCCTAGAGCCTCGCGTTCAAGTAGTATTCGGTGCATGGGCTCTAAAGCATGATATCGAAAGGGACCAGTTTGAAGATTTTTTATTCATCTTAATCATAATATTCCATTTTAACTAGCTCCTTGTCAATCTCGTATTATCGTTCTTTTATAATGTTGCTAAGCCTTACCGTGATCAGGCCAAGCCAAATATTGCAACTGTACAACTACTCTGCTTCGCAGACTCTGACAAAGAGATCAAAGATCAACAACATGAGGTGCAAATATAGATTTATATTGAGTCGAATTAGAAAATACATCAAACAAATAATATGTAGTAAGCTTAGGCCCGCCGCACTGCCAGGAAGATTTAACTCCAGCACTTTGCTCACTGCCTCGCGAGAYGACAAACTAGTGAGTGCTAGACGTAAGGTTGTTCGGTTTTCATTCGGACACAGTACCATTTACTGAACATTGATCGTGCGAAATCTTTCTCACCGCGTGCTGCGCACTTTCGAGATTGGTTTAATTTTATTAAAAAAAACTGTTAAGAACCACGTGTGGGTGTGCGCGCGTTTGTCTAGAAACTAAACCTTTTACGATTATAGGGGCATAACCCTTTAATATTTAAGCTATTTAGGATGACTTACTTTATTATCAGTGACATACATCTCTCGATAAACATAAGACGGTGAGAAATCTCTAATCTTTGTGCATATAATCTCTAGATTACCAAATGTCCACGTATCCTCCCCCTCAGGCCAGTATTGATGGCATTTCACCTAGAACAAATCAAACATCGTCAAATAATATGAAGGGTGGTAGTGATTTCGGTTCAATTTTTTGTGATTTTGATATCAAAGGTGTAAAATTTGTAAAAAGAGGGAAGATATTCTTACCCGTCCTCTTTCAACAGTGGTCGTAAGCATGATAACTAACGTGGATTCCTTTTCCCAAATCATCTAACCAAAAAACAATGCGTCAATCTCGTTCTTGTACCGGGCTTCCTGTCCCTCCTCCAAGAAGAACGGGAAAACAGAAACCCCGTAGAGGGAAGACAAAGCAACAAAAGAGAAGTGGTGGGAAAAAAGTATAGGGAAGGGAAGAGGATAAGAAATGAGAGGTCTGTGCAGACCTAGGAAACAGAGAGAATCCTTACCAAGGAAAACAAAAGAGAAAGAAATGAAATGGGAGGAAATACAGACAAAGAAACATGGTTATTTGGAAAGAGAGAGTCGACCCAAAGAAGCAAGTAGTTGCAGTTCATTTCATTTTTACCTGCCAGAAATCTTTACAAGTCTTTTCTAGCGGTCCCTGGGCTGCGATGTATGTTAGTACAATTCCGCGTGACGGGATATCCATCTGGGAACACAAAATGTTGTATTACAATACTATACACTTTTAATTAATAAAATTAATATTTCAATTAATATAGTAAGAAAACCTTACATTCACATAGTTGGCGTTGATATAATCACTATTTCCCTTTATCAACTTTACTCGAGTATCATCATCTGAAAGAATTTTTAAGAATTATACATGTTAGAGCTACTGAAGGGATTTTTACAGGATGAACTTTCCTTTTTTGGTTTGGATCAGAGCAAAAAACAAAGCGCGCACCATTCAATTTTTCCAGAAAAGACGCGTGAAACATTTGTGAAACATTTGTTTCTAGAGAAAGAAACTGAGCCTTGTTTACAGGGATAATATTCATTAAACAAGCTGTTTACACTATACAATAACACTTGTTACTTACATGGAAGAATATCACGATATCTATTCTTTGGGAGATTTTCAGGTTTTCGAGCTTCGTCCATCGACATTCCCGGCTTTTTCCGATAAAGTTCCTTTTAAAAGTCAAAATAATAACCAACAATTAGTTTTTACACCATCTAGATGATACACATCAAGGCAATTGTACTTACTTGAAAATACATCAAGAGGTCTCCACTTTCTAGATTCTGTACAACAAAGACAGTGCATTACGCATTTGTAAATATGAAATTGAAGAATTGTTTAGAAGTTAAACGAGGAATTTTCAAATAATAATAATAATCCTACCTCTCGTAATTGTTCCATGGATACTCTAAGAGCCTCTTCGTCACGTGAATCAACCTTTTCTTGTTTGGCTGCTATTTTTTGCTTTTCATGTTGTAACTCGGCTGCTGAATACTGCTCGGGTGAAATCACGTTCTCTGGCGACTCGGCAAGAGATCTTGCTCCTTGAGAGGCGAAAACTGTAAAACAACAACAACAATGGAAACTGAGGAATTCTATACATTTTGAAGGAACTATAGTTTGATAAAAGGTTAAACTGATAGTTCTTATCCTGAAGTACTTACCATTTGGTCTTATAGTTAGTATTAATACTTGGTTTTTTGAGCAGCTTATACTACGTATTAAGTCGACAATCTGAAGAATATAATTCGGATTTGACTTTTAAATTTCTAACATAAAGGAAACACTGATTTTACACAATCACACAAAAGACAGAGAAAAAGTTATACTGGTATGAATGCCYCTTTTTTGGTTTAGTTTTTACACAGCAAAATCTTAAAAGGAGTAGAATAGAAATGCTTGAAAACGCTCTTAATATACGGATAGGTTTGGCGCGGAAAAAAAAACCGAATTAAAAGAATGCGAATGCAATAATTTTAGGCTACGCGTAGACAAGTCTCACTCTTCCTCAGTCGTTTTCTGTTTTCTTCTTGCGCGCAATGCATTCATCTTCCTCCTATGATGCATTGCGCGTGTGGAAGAGGTGACTGTGGACCAGTCACTTACAAGGTAAAGGCACACTCTTTAAAGGAGTAAACAAACCTCTTGATGTGTGAGTCCCTTCATGGCCTGTCCGTTAATATATATGATTTCATCTCCTTCTTGTAACTGCGGCATACATAGATCAGCCTAACAAAGAAAAACAACAACAAATAAATAAATAAATAAATAAATAAAACAGAAAGCAGGGGTACTAGGGCCAGTTTATAATATGGAATATGGACTGATCGCATTTAATCAACTTTTATGTCTGTGCCAACAAGACCTATGATGATGATAGTGATGATGATTGTGATGATGCTGATGATAATAATGCTGACCGAATTACTGAATATTGTATACACGACTTATTACCGGTGTTGCACGAGCAATCTTGGATATGATGACGGGCAACTCGATGTCAAAGCCACCCTACAAAGAAAATTATTCATCACTCTATACCATTGCAGCCATGTCCTTCTTTCACTGATGAAGAAATACTTTGTTTATCGAAAAAAATCACAAATTATGACAAGAATGAAATACCTGAACATTGAAACCAAAGCGACCCAATTCATCAGGTTCCATCCTGGTTGACAACAAAAGGAATGGGATTCAGATGAAACGACGAGGAAAACAATATTACCATTACCAATCACGAGGGCAGAGTTAGCAGGTGATCTCGGGATGATTGAGCATGCTCGTGTTTATCTTTTAGAACTGGTTTAAATTTGCCTATAGGCACGCACGCCCAGTTAGAAAAGTTTTCGGCATCTTTTAGTGGTATTTTTGATCCCTTACACCTGGAGCGCACCCTCAGGATTCCCCGGTAAAACGTAATGACATCATTGTGTAAACCCAAACAACAACAAAACAAAATAAATACCTGACGTTAATGAGACCTTCCTGTGGCGTCGTACCATTTCCCTGTAAAGAATACAAACATTTTGTTATATAAAAATATATAAGCTTTTCTTTGACACACTGGATCGTTCGTACTTCCTGGGTGTTTCAAATACTTGTAAATTATACATCAGTTAACTCATGAAACTGTTGATCTAATTGTCAAAACATATCAGCTATATATCAACCTTCGAATTCTAATCGAAATAGACCATATGAAAAAAGGCGTGGCTATCGTAACGCCTTAGTTTATAACATTTTTATTGTATCATTGCTACCCGTTGAAAGAACACATTACCGAATGGATAAGATCTGAAAATTTCAATACTCTAACATTTAAGGACCAGAAATTACAGGCGTTTGAAATTACAAAAGATTGAGTATAAACATGAAGTATTGGGGCCTGACCAGCCTCGTTTTCACGTTTTTGTTACATCTCAAATGCTCGTAACTCTGCTGATATTCAACATTTGAAACWAAAACTCCGCCAATTTACTAGTTGAGATTAAATCCTTCWTACGATGAAAACAGATGTTTAAAATGGGCCGTTTAATGAGCTCATTCCCAGTTTTCTGYTCGTTTTTCATATGGTCAATAGAATGGATCAAWTGTAACTGAATGAAAAGGAAATTGCATACAGTCATCGKCCGAGAAAKAAATCACTACATACCACCTTTGATTCGTCTCCCTCTGACCCTTTACTRTCCAAGGAATCACAAGATCCTTCTTTCTTCTACAATGATTTATATTSACGTGCAAATTATCGACTGGAACGAGTATGCATGAAAACAAAACAAGCAACCAAAAACACGTACGGAGCGTTAWACGGAGGTYTGCGGGCTTTAGCTCTACAGCTSAACGGTTAATAATTTAAAAAGCATCGTGATTTAAAGCTCATTAYGGTTTGGAAATAAATGTTATTAATGCCGTTAGTATTATAAGTAACTTATGAACGAATAATTAGCCGGTATGTACTCAAACAGAACGTACGAACAATAGCAAAAAATACGGAGAAACAGAATTAAAATGGCACAAACGAATGGATGGAAAAGAAAAAAAGAAAAGAATTAAATGCTCTCATATTACTTGATATCATTTATAGTTTTTYAGAAAGGTCAACTGCACATTAAACAGTGCTAAGCAATGCTATCAATTATTCATTAAATGAAAAACCAATAAATATCAGTATATTATCATGTTACTACTACGACTGATCAATCAGTTGGTCGATAWAACAATCAGTCAATCAATCAGCCAGTCAGTTAGTAAATCAGTCAATCATGAATCAATCTGAATCACTGAACAACCTGCTCAGCCCATCAATCAACTCACATGACTCTCATGCGATGGCTTCACTAATCCTCCAACATTGGCGCTAGTACTGTGGGACCTCTTGACATTACCAATTCTATTAAGCCTAAAAAAAATCGGAATAGCAATACTCAATGTTTACCAACAAACTCATTCTTATGTTAACCAACCATGATCATACTGGCTTTTCACAAGTCACTTTGTTCTAACAGCCAATCGTCTTCTGGTTGGCACATGAATAACAAACGCTTACGGTCACATTGAGTAACGCTATACCCTGTCTATACTAAAAGCCTACTCAATATCATTATCAAATTTATTAATAATTCATTAGGTTTCAAGCACAATGGAAAAGCATTGCTGTGACGGCATCTTTATATGAGCAAGAAATATATGGGCTCTTAATGCCCATAAATGTCACCTGCTCATGTTTTATTCATCACTATAATCGTCCAGATGCAGAAATAATTCAAAGTGATTTTTTGTCTTACTTGTCAGTGCTGTTAGGTGCCGAGGAGTAATGGAATGGAGGTGCATGTTTCTCAATGAACGCTGATGTGTCCTTCTCAAACTCGCGATCTAGATCTAGTCTTCTTAAGCTCCGTGACCCTAAAAACAGAACAACATTATTGGAAAACAGTGATGAGAGATGACTAGAAAACAAGTAAGTTTTTAAAAAAATAATGAAAAAAAAGATGCTACATAAGTGTTGGTGGATTTATATGTATCAGCTTCCTACATGTATAGACCATGTATAACCCAGGATTAGCGCGAATTGGGCTTTGAACAACCCAGTCCAGGAGTGAGAAAAAATTTGAAAGAGCACCCCAATATAGTAAAATGATGCCATTATAAAAATGACAAGCTCAATTTAATTCAATTTATGTTTTATAAATGACTCATTATTTTATTAATGATAGTACAATCTGAATGGATGAGGCTAGATCGATCTCTGTGTAGATCAATCACGACGAATAAGAGAACAGAAATCACGTAAAACAAAATGTATCACTTACATGTACCTGAGTCACTACGTTTGGAATACCGTCGACTTAGAGTCCTAAGAACATAATGGATATTTTATATTCGATTACTGTTGGTGCAAAATCTAAACAGAACCTGAATCTAACTAGTTTGCATTGAAAATGATTACCTTACCTAACAATTTTAGGCTCTGGTCTTACATGGCTTCGACTTTCTTCAATAGCTTGATATTCAGTCTTCCCCCTGAACACCAAACAGCATGAAGAATATTGTTATTTTTGAAGGCAATGTGAATATTGTTTTTACTGAAATACCACATCTTGTTGAATTCTAGTCTAACTTTACAGTCTTTTATTAACAGTTTACATAAAACTAAAAGAATTGCTTCATCAGACACCTGATAATTACAATAAGGTCATTATTGTAAACATTTCTATTTTTCAATCCACTAATCAAATGTTTACTTACTTGTATCTGTACTTTGAGCCCATTCGAAATAGCCGGCGATTATTCATGGGTTTAGGGCAGTGGGTCCTGCAACCCAAGTAACAAACAATAAATAAAAAACTTCAAAAAATGAAAATCATAAAAACTAACCTGTAAAATGAATGGTACTCTACACATGTTTTCCAAAGGTTCTTTGTGGCTCTGTAAGTTTGCATTTGAAAGGCAATGGTGTTGTCTTTCCATTCATTCTTGAAGCAAATCAAACAATGAACAAGATAAGAGTTTTGTATCTTTTTGGATTTTAGCTGGGCTTCCTGTGGTAAATGARACTGGACTGCCACAGGGAACCCATTAAAAATACARAGAACACAATCAAGAAGAATACAGAAGAGTCTCTGKGYAGGTATGCTTACCCAATCAGGACGGATTTGAATGTAAAACCTTTTTCTTTTGAARCAGACTTTRACCACTTTAGACCTGGATGAACCAAATAAGAACATTAGAAATTCCGAAATTAAATAATCAAACTCAAGTAAGTAAGAAAAATAAAACAGTGAAACAGTGAAGTCAAGCTTACCATGGAAAAAAGTTGATTTTACATTTGTTATGATATACAGTAAGACCAAGAGCAGATATGCCAATGTACAGATCAGTTCCTTGTGTATCCTAGAAAACAATTACCAAAGAATGCAAGCTATAAGAAAAGA